ATGATGATGAATGCTGGAAATCTGGTTTTAATGCTGAGATGTTCATGCCTAAGTAAATGGCGGATTCGTTCATTATCATTCTCTGGGCCCATATGAACGGGAATATTAGGCTTTCTACTCTGGGGAAGATTTTCATAAGAAATGTGTTAGAAATATTTACTTAGTATTCTTCAAAACAAGTGACTGAAAATCATACTTAAGGTGGCTTAAAAATGAAATCTGGCCCCAAAGCTGCAGTCTGCAGAGCTGTAATCCGGACTTGGAACTTGGATTTTCCATGTCCCACAGCCTTCATTCGTGCGCTGCGGCGGTGTCTCCAGAAGACAGTCATGAGCGCAGCTCCATCCGCAACCCTGCCCGCCCCGCCCATCCCCAGTCGGGGCACGGCAGAGGGATCGCCCCCGTGGACTGGCTCCGGCCGCAGACACACTTCTCAGCCAGTCTCTGTGGCTGTAACCGCGGTCTTGGGCGGGCCTCGGTTTCACGTTCCCTCAAGTGAAAACAGGGCAGTTTGTGCAAGAAGGGGAGGTATCACGGAAAGAAAGCCAGCCCACTTCTCATGCTGGAAGACTTCGAATGCCTGAGGTCCAGGCATGAGGATGCCACTTCAGGTGCTAGGTTGTGTTTTGAGTAATTTATGATTTGGGGCATTAAAAAGTATAATTTAGACCATTGAAAAATGTCTTCAAGCTAGCTGCTTATTAATAATGCTTGTTACAAATTCTCTCATGAAATTGTTCATGTACTTAGGACTTTATTATTTGAAATTAAAGTGCTGGAATAATTTTAAGTTTGTAACCAGGCTGTAAATTAGTCCAACACTTTAGTTTCAAATAATGCTAATTAAAAAATTTGCATTATTCAAGTATTGATGACCTACACCATGTTTTAACAGTTATAGGCATACAGGGTGATTCAATTCTGTACATTACTCAGTGCTCACCACCATAAGTGTGGTCACCATATGGGTGGGATTATAAAATTATTGACTACTTACTGTTGTCCTTCTCATCCCCATGACATCATTTGTCTCCTGGGCCTATTTAAAGTTTGAAACTCAATGGAAATTTTACAAAGGTTAGCCTGTGTGCTTAATGGAAACTGACATTTCGTATAGTAAAATTGAGAAAATGAGTGTATTGGGTCTAGCAACACAGGCCCACTGAATTTACTAGTACTATGGGGCACCCCTTAGTCCACTGTAGTTCGTAGTTCCAGAAACGTGGAGTTTGTGCCTGGGCTCAGAACAGCACATTGTAGAACTCAGACCAGGCCATTGTTTAGCTACATTGTTTATTATGTGTTCTTCTTGAGGAACCTGTTTTGTTTCCTGTCTTCCTCCTCTAGAACAGGAAATGCTTGTAAGATCCGAACTAGGTTTAAATTGCCCAGCTCAGTCATTTACCAGCTAGGAGACTTTGAACTTCTGGTTTCCCAGGTGTAACATGGGTCCTTAGTATCTTGCATAATAGTTGGGATGGTTAACCACTTTAAGGACAGGATTAGTTTAACATTAAGCAAAGTCGCCTATGGGTAACTTTTGAGTGACTTGCTTAAAGAATATACCCCAAAAGGTAGACTTTTTTGGGGGAGGGTTAGACCTCTACTTCTGAAAGCACTCTAGTTGACTGCCATTCTCCTAAAGGCGGGGAACGCTAGAAAATTGTATTTGGAAGCAAGGGTTCCCTTAAGCACGAGATTGCAGAGCAGATTTCAAATTAACAGTCAAAAAACAAAAGCACTGGTGACCAAGTATTTATTGAGACAAAGAATACAAATTGGTGGCATACAAATTATTAAAAATAGAATGAATTTTATTTATAGGCAGGCCATCAGATACTGTTTGTGGGTCAAGCCCTACTGTAATGAACTGCGAGGATATATACATACATAGTTTGGAATGAGGAACGTCACCCAGACAAGCACATACTGGAAAGATTTTGGCCTTTGGTATAGGGGATGGGGAATGGCAAGTACTTGTCAGATTTCAGGAATACTGACTGCTGTTATTTGGGCCTGTTCTTCAAAAGAAAACAACGGCCTGTTTTAATAGGGCTAAGTGTGGAATGAAAACATTTAATAACCCCCTCTCTCTCTCTCAAAAAGCCCACTACTCCCAAGTAGCAAGTAGTTTCACCTCCTTTCATTTTGCTGGAAATACTGATGCGTAAGACAGACCCCCACACAAGTCACCTAAGGGAACAAGTCCTTTGAAAGCAGAGTTAAAACAACTTCTACCTGTCATCTGAAGCAATCAACACTAGAGACTTAGTGTTACAATTTAGATAAAGGGGCCCTCAAGTATAATTTTTCTTTTTTTCTAATCCTAAATATCTGGGTAAAACTGGAAGGGATATGTTTAGGTGGAAAGAAATGACTTCTGAACCAGTGTGACACAAGCAGCAGCTAGGCAAGACTTTAAAGCCTTACTATCCCCAAAAGCGCTGGCTTTATTTTTATAGTCACAGCTTAGTCTAAAAATCAAGGCTTGCCATCCTCCCGCTGACTTCCCTAAGCCCGGCATGGACATGAGTGCGTCCGACTTTCTCAAGCTGCCCCAGCCGCTAGAGCTGACCGCCCGTAGTCCTGGGGCCCGAGGTTCCCTAGATGCCACGCTAACTGCCTGCTCTGTGGTTTTATTCAGGGCGCATTCACTGCAACAGTCTTTTTACTTGGCTTGACTTCTAATCTTTGTTCCCTTGTTACTTATCTTGTAAAAGTGATGAATAATGTTTGTAGTACTATGAAAACAACTTTTTTTGCCTTTTTAGGCTAGAGCTTCAGCATGGGAATTACACTTTGACACGGAAAATCAGCATTTCTATAAATGAAATATACTAAATAGAAAAGTGTTTTTGAAAAGACGGAGGCTCCACCCCTCACAACCCTAAGAGAAAAAAAGTGACTCTCCCTTCTTCCCCATTGTTTTGTCATTTCCTTCCCAATGATTTGGAAATCAAACTCTCTTTTCCTAAGTGCCGAATTCAAAATACAAACACACTTGCATTTTGTTGTAAAGGCGAAGTAGTAATAATACTTATATTTTATAGGGCTATATAACTTGGATCCTTAGATGGATCTAAATGAACCTACACACAGATGGGAATCTGAATAACTGATAGAGCAAATGTGCAATATTCTAAGAAATTAAATTGGGCTACTTATTTGCTTTTGTTTGGCTATATAAATAACAATAGCCTAGATGGTGAACCTTCCAATTATCTGAGAGGAAATTCTACATTAAAGATCTATTCCAGAGCTACATGGCTGACGGACACTTCAACTTGAATTCCCCATCAGTTGCAAAAATAGTGTATCCACTAATGCTAATGTATACACTACTAAGTGGTAAGTTTATGTAACCTTTCCTAATGTGCCTGTCTACTGTGAAGGGCCATAACACTTTAAATATCTTCCCAGGGGCTACAAGTGAATGATCTGTTGAGTACTTTGACACACTTAGGCTTTCAGTGACGTTGGATTTAATATAAAATTATTTTGAAAAACATGGTTTTTGAAATTTTACAATAAAAAGGTATTAATAAGGACACTGTTAAGGTTTCTATAGCCATCAAATGTGAATATTTTCAGTTTTCAAGTCAAAGAAAAACCCACTTTAAAAACTGATAGTGATTAATAGACATGTCTTGCATTTGCTATTAAAGACCAAAAATAAAGTCCAGATTGATCTTTTAAGCAATCTAATTACAAAGTGTCCAAGACAGTTTAGTGTTTTTTGGGAAAACAATGTCAGGGTTGGCAAAAATGCCTAAGAAATAAAACTTTTCAGGTATATCTCAACACTGTTAACTGGGCCATTTAACAAAAGCATGCACACACATTTAAAACACTAAGCTTTGCTTCAGTAGAAGAATAAATTAAAATGGCCATACACAAAGTGTTACGTTACTTAACAATTCCGTCAAAACATCATCCCCGGCAGGCCCAAAATAAGCTTTTGACCCAAAGATTTTAGAAAAATGTCTGGAAATGGTACTTGTCCTTGTTTTAGAGAGAATAGTTCATAATGGGAAAAACGCTATTTCACAGGCTACTAGTATTTTATCATGAAATACTAAGATTATATTTACCTCCTTGATGTTTCAAAAGTCATGGAACTATATAAAATATAAAAGGAAACTAGCTAGCATGTGACTACCTGGTGTAGAAACAGAAGGTACATTCAGGACACTGAATAGCACTAACACTTTTCCTCATGCTGCACACATACTGGCAATATTGTTCTACAGTAAATATGCAATGATCCGATGAAGTCCTTTCCCCCCACATACTTACAGTTTGATTTAGGGCACTAAAAACACTTGCACATGAATTTCAACTTAAATTTATGGTGAAAATTTAGGTTCCCCCCCCCCCAAAGCGATCACTAACTTACCTTTTCTTTAAAAATAATCAATGATAATATAGCAATAGCACTTAATGCTTTTTCATCATGCAAAACTTGCCCCCAAATACATGTTCGAACAGTAACAATACTTGTGAAGTGACATCATTCCCACAATACACTGCAGTACGGATCTGAAAACTTCCGGTGAGGGAACTGCTAGGCCTGCCTCATCTGCCCCCACTCTTGCAGCTTGCTAACTCATCTCCTCCTAGGACGGGAGACAAATGGATTACCAAATTTGTGTTCCCACTCTTTCTCCCCAAAAGCAAAAACAACAATTTCCCCAAGAAGTGTTAACTAAAAGATGAGTTAATGTGTTTACAAAACACAACTGGACTTTTTCCATCATTTTGGGATAAACCAAAATAAATTTCTTAAAAGTTTCATCTGGAGATTTCACAGCTGAAAATGCTTTCAGCAAATCCTAAAGCCTTAGATCTTAAGAAAGTATGTATTGTCCGTTGTTGATTATAAAACCACTTGCCTTCTTTTCGATCTAAAAATTTTTAACACTTGAATTTAACAGGTTTTTCTTCTGGAAAAGTTCTTTGGCATTCAAGTAAAATCAATACTTTCTGAATAGTCACCTGCATCACACTGGAGTGACTGCTTTAATTTCTAAATCATCAATTAGTGTAACCCAGGGATACCGATGGCCTCGATACATAATTTAGTCTTGTCGTTATTCCAGAGAGGATGGAATTCAGGGCTTTTTGGGGCATCATCTGACCCCATTTCTCTTTACCACAATGGTTCCTGCTACAATGTCATAGGCTGTTCGATTATGCTGAAAAAACAGCAATGTGATGAAAGCCGGGAAAAAAGAAGCAATAGAAAAATTCTTGATCAAAGCTCGTATAGTAGACCTAAAAAATTAAGGCAAAAAATACCAGATAAATTATATATCAACCACTTAGAGATTAATACTATCCTACCAAGTTCAAAATATATATTTAAAACATACATTCAAAGTATTGAGAGTTTTTACCTTCAATATCTGAGTTACTTTCAAGTAGCATTATATTCTGATCAAACCACCTGGGCTTGTTCTAAAGACATCATCAACGTAAGAATAAGACTAAAGAACCTCCATATGAAAAGCACTAATGAATATTTCCTAGAATGTGAACTAAAGGTTTACAGTATTTTCTCGGATATTTTGCTAAAAGAATAACTGTTCCCTTTACTTACCTTTTGTATAGTCACTCGTGTGTGTTTAGTACCTTCTACACTAATATGCTTACTGTAGTCCCCTTTTCTACCTTCTGTGAAGCTCTAACAGTTTAAATTACTGTGTATTCTTTCTTTGTGGGATGCTGTGATTAAAGAAAGCTTTAAAAAGCTTCCAACCGTAGCTCAGAATGGAGAATTATCCTACCAGTGTTAGATTTCTGCCTCTCCGCACACAGAAAGGCTACAAAAAAAGCACTGTGGCTGAGTGTGGCTCTGAATGCAGACTAGTTGGTTTCAGATCCATTTTCAACCACTCACTCGTGCTCCACAACCATAAAAAGGGGATAATGGTACCGATGGTACCTATCTTATTAGGTAATATGTATTGTTTTATTTTTATTTTTTTTTAAAGATTTTATTTATTTATTTGAGAGAGAGAGAATGAGAGATAGCACGAGAGGGAAGAGGGTCAGAGGGAGAAGCAGACTCCCTGCCGAGCAGGGAGCCCGATGCAGGACTCGATCCCTGGAGTCCGGGATCATGACCTGAGCCGAAGGCAGTCGCTTAACCAACTGAGCCACCCAGGCGCCCAATACGTATTGTTTTAAACAAGGCCTGTTATATAAGAGGTGCTCAATAAACAGCCCTTATTGACTCATTAAAAGTAGCAACCAGGAGGGGCGCCTGGGTGGCTCAGTCGTTAAGCGCCTGCCTTTGGCTCAGGTCATGATCCCAGGGCCCTGTGATCGAGCCCCACATCGGGCTCCCTGCTCGGCAGGAAGCCTGCTTCTCCCTCTCCCACTCCCCCTGCTTGTGTTCCTTCTCTCACTGCGTCTCTCTCTGTCAAATAAATAAAATCTTAAAAAAAAAAAAAAGTAGCAACCAGGATTATAATAATCACAAAACTGTAAGGAAATTTGAGGATAACTGCAAAATCGAGGTCTCCAGAGTCTCTCAGATTTCTTTCTCTAACGACCCAGCTCTGAATCATTCAGGCAGCATTCCAGCCAGTATCTTGTTTTGCTCAACTAACTGCCACCTACTTAACTCCCATTATCACTATTTGTACCTCCCCACAGAGCCAGATGCCAACAGCCAGCCCTGAGTACTGCAGCATGACAAGCTCTCTCGTATCGCTTAAGAGCCGGACCCGGGTGCATGCATGCGTATCTGCCCAAACTCTTACTGCCCATTTAGGATGGGATAATGACATGTATTATTACCAAACGGAAGCTGGAGACTCAAGGCAGATTAGTAACTGGCCCAAGAGCCACCAATTCAGACAATAATTGAACTGGGTATGGAGCACCGAAGCGCTGATACAGACCGCACCACCGCCCAAACCCTCTCACGACTTTTATTCTATAAAATGATTATCTTGAAATTGTATACTAAAGAGGGGTCTACGGTTCTATAACAACTGAAAACCTCAGTGCTCCAAATATACAATGGAACATTACCCAGCCGTCACAGAGGATGAATACTCAACTTTTACATCAACATGGATGGGACTGGAGGAGATGATGCTAAGTGAAGTAAGTCAAGCAGAGAAAGTCAGTTATCATATGGTTTCACTTATTTGTGGAACATAAGGAACAGCGTGGAGGACATTAGGAGAAGGAAGGGAAACATGAAGGGGGGGAAATCGGAGGGGGAGACAAACCATGAGAGACGATGGACTCCGGGAAACAAACTGAGGGTTCTAGAGGGGAGGGGGGGGCGGGGGGATGGGTTAGCCCGGTGATGGGTATTAAGGAGGGCACGTACTGCATGGAGCACTGGGTGTTATATGTAAATAATGAATCATGGATCACCACATCAAAAATTAATGATGTACTGTAAAAAAAAAAAAAAAAAAGAAAACCTCAAACTTTTCAGTTTTAAAGTTAACAAAGGTAAGTCTATTACATGCCATGAAGAAAAAAATACCAATATCCTAAAAATACTATATCAAATGGTATCACTTCTGAATAATATTGAATTCTACACTTAAAACTTACTATTTTCATAAGTATGTAGTAAATTAAGCCAAGAAAAGAACTTACGTTGTGATGCTCACATTTGAGGAAGGAATCACTAGAACCCGACTCGGCGCGATAAGCACAGATGTATCACACGTTACCACTCGAAGGCCCAGCAGGAACTTCCCTGGGGTCGCTCCACCTGCTCCCCAAATGCAAATTATCTAAGGAAAGAGGGAGAGTTTAAAAATAATTCACTAGCTCAACTCTACCAATTTTAAAGAGAAGTTTTTTTGCCATGTTATTCATGTTTTAAAATTTTCAAGTTGAAAGAATCTCAGAGAATACTGACACGTTAACGCTGTAAGGCTTCTCTGCAGGTCTCTTATGCCCTCAATACACCAGACGTCTACCACAGTATTTCTCTGTGACCCACTTTTTTTTTAAGCAAGTTGTTTCTATGGAAAAATACATTTCAAGTTCCACAACAACTTACAAGTGTATTTTTAGACCACAAGACTGAAATATAGTACAAAGAAATTGTAAAATGTCACCACTCAGAAAGTTCTACTTTTTAACTTGAAGAATATTATGTCAAAGAACATTTGGAAAAAATTAAAAAACGGAGGTATTTGACAAAAACATGAACACTTATAAATTTCCATTACTTTTTGTGTTGGGCTGATCATCTAAAATTAGATTGTTAAACTTGAATATTTGCTGAGTCAGTAGCTTACCTCATAGAAACAAACTAACAATCTGTATATGAGAGCCACAATCATCATTTTTTGCAAATCTTCCATTGATGTGTCTTCATCTATTTCTTCTATTATATAATGCATAGCAAACTTGGAGATATCCCTACACAAAACAATAGTTTTGGGATATAAAGAATTAGTTAACAGAGCAATTGCATTGATATTTCTTCCATTAGTGTCACAAACTTTAACTGAAATTCTAAACTAATCTTTAGGTTTCCACCCATTTAGTTTCACAAAACATTCATTAGCTTGTTCAACAAATAAGCAGCACTATCGTGAGCAGGCACTATACTAGCCCCGGGGACTCAATCTGATCTCTGCTTTCATGGAGACTCTTACCTACTAGACAAAGCACAACAACTAAGTAATAATAAAGTGGGATGATGGTGATGATAGAGAACCGCAGGATAGTAGGGAAACACATACCAGGTACATTTTACCTAGGGAGTGAAGCCTTCCCTCTCCATCCCATCTTGTGGATGAAGAGAAGTTAGCCAGACTAAGAAGGGGGAAGTTTCAGGAGGGAGAGACTAGCACGAGAGAAAGGCTTGGAACGAGGCTGTGATGGAAGCTGTAAGCAGTATGGCATGGCTCAAATATTAAGTATAGAAGGTCATAGCAATTAAGAAATAAAGCATCTGTTAAATGATATGAAGGACAAGACTTTATCCTGATGGCAGTTATGAAATCACTGAAGAGTTTTAAGGTGGGAGAGGGGCAGAATCAGAATTTATGATCTCTTTGGTTTTAGATCAGAGACTGGACTGAGATAGAACAGGAGACGGGAGACTGAGATACCAGTTAGAAGACTTTTGCTATGATCCAGAAGAGAGATGACAATCACTGGACTAGGAAGAAGCAGTGACGATGAAGCAGTAAAAGGGAAATGGTCTGAGTTGAAGGCTATTCAGGAGCCTAAAAGTAAGGAGCTGGTACCTGGTTGGCTGTGTGGGGGGTGGGAGAGAAAGGGAGACACAGGGAGGAATCGCAGTAAAACTAGGGTTCCTGGCAAAGGCCCTGAAATTTCACCAAAGGGTTTGTATCTTGACACCGACACTTATGACCTTTGTATTTATAAATTCTGAACTTAACTTCTTGAAGTAAACCCTAACTTCAATCTACAAAAAGGAGGTATTACCCTCTACATCTCATACTGGTGGTACAATTAAAAGAATCCATATGAAGTGAGCTCAGCACTCAGCATATAGAAAGGGCTTAGCGAGTGGTAACTGCTATATAATTATCAATATGAAAGGAGGATTATTCAAATAAACAGCTCACTTTGCAGTTCACTTGGGACTTGCCTCGTTGTGTAAGCAATCCCATTTGGAAATGCCCGTCTAATTGATTATCAACAGTTCATCTACCCAAAGCTCTCTCTGTTTTTGTTTTTACTCCGAACAGGATAGTGAGAGGGAAATTAATGCCTAGTCTAACAACATGGTTGAATCAAAAAAATCAAACGTTTACCTACTTTTGATAGGTGAGATTCCCACAGATCTTTCACAACTTGTTTTTCTCTTTTTTTGTATTTATTTCTTAAAACAAAGAAATAAAATATGCCCAAGTCCTTATAGGAGCTCCCCATAGGAGAAATCGTAACACTGGCACACTGTCCATTTGCAGGCATGAAGAGAACTTCAGAAAACAAGATCTCTATACAGTACACATTAAAACCTTTCTGCAAATAGCCTTAACTTACTTTATTCCACTGAGGTGCATAATACTTAAGACAATGGTTGCTTTTATAAAGAAGAGAATAAAGAAATCCACCATCTCTGCCATAAATCTGTGGGCCAAGGATGGAATAACATACTCTCTGCCTGTAAATTAAAAAAAAAAAAAAAAAAGTTAGGAAAACTACTCATTTCACATAAGCCTTGGAACCCAAGCTAGGTAATAAATGGAGAACACAAAGTCAAGGTATAACTTGCTAATAAAAAGAGAAGTTAAAACCGTGCAACAATTACTGGTATTGACTCCATCAATAGTACATGGTATTTATTCCACTATTTACTGAACAGTTTAAAGCTTGCTTTCACCCAATTACGGTTTAAAAAATGATTTCACAGATATTAAATTATTTAAAGCACTCAATACATTTCACTAGGGACTCAAAAACGTATCCGGGTGATCACAAGCCTACGACACAAAATTAAACATTTTTTAGGAAAAACCAAGGTTAAGTATAGACAATTACTAGTACAAAGTAAATAACCTGTGTTCCTCATTTTACCGCCTCTTCACTTAGTTTGTCTTGCTTTTCTACGTAATAAATCCACAATGATTATCAATCTGACCTCTTAAGTTCTGAAGGGGATCAAATACAGGAAAACTAGTTCTTGTCTCGTATATGTGGCTGAACAAAGTAAACAAAAAGTGTAATAAACTAAAAAGTGCAACTAGAACAAAATATTCTAATTCCCATCCAGAAGTAAACAGACAATATTACAAAGAACATTCACTTAGGGCTCAAAGGTTCCTAACTCCACCTGCTTTCACGTAAATCTCCTTTTACATCCGGCAGTTGCATTGTTCCTAATATATAACGTGTAATTATCCTATCAATTATACGTTACAGATACCATTACATATCATCATATTTCCTATCCTCCATAGTAAATCCACGTCTGGATTATGCCCGGCACTACCGGCAGCCCCCACGCCGAACCGGCCGTCAGAGCGCGTTTGCCACGTGAGGGGGAAGCTCTGGGTCTCCGTCTCCACAGCATGGAGATCAAGAGGCTAGCCTGATGGGCAACGATGTCCTCACACGTGGAGACGACTAGTCCCAGGAGTAAGGGGATCAGTTCGGAGGGCCAGGTCTAAAGGAAAAAGAAACCGCACAGCCTCGCCGCACACTTTGGAGAATGTAAGGCCTGGGCAAACGACAGCTGAAGGACGCAGAGAAATACCCCACCTGCGCAGCGGCATGGTTACAGAAGTAGAGAGTGTAGCTGCTCTACCGACCAGGGAGCTCCCCTAAGACCCTTCCGCTCCGCCCCGCCTCACCTCTCCGTCGCGCTTCTCACCTGCCTGCCGCCCGGTCTCGCTCGGGGTTCGCGAAGGGGCGCCGGATCCCACCCTGGTCCCCGGGGTTGCCCGGACGGATCCCTGCGCGTGCGGAGCCCGGCCTCCCAGGCCCGCGACCGGAGCAGCGGGGGTGATGCCGGTAGCCGCTCCCAGGTCAGGCCCGGCGGCCGCGGCGCTCAGGAAGTAGAAGGGGTTGTAATAGCCCAGCTGGAGGGGCGGCGGCGCCGCGGCCTGGGGGGCGGGGGCGCCACCGCCCGAGGGGTAGCTCGGCGGGGGCGGCTGGGGGCTGCAATAGGCGGGGAAGGCGGCCAGGCCGCTGTGCCAGGTGAGGTAGCCGCAGTAGGACTGCCACAGCCACTCGTGCACCTGCCGGGAATACTCGCGGGCGCTCAGCCGCACCGGCCTGTCTCGCGGCGCGGCGGCCTCGGGCGCCTCGCCGCCTGCCGGCTCCTGCAGCCCCGCACTGGAGCCGGGGCCCGTCTCCCCGCGCTTCCCGGGCTCGCCGGGCGGCTCCGACTCCTCAGCGGCGGCCGCGGAGGGTGCGAGGCCCGGAGCGGGGGGCCGGCCCGGGGCCTGGGGTTCCGCCTGCGGCCCGTCCCGGGGGCGTAGGGCGGCGGCGGGAGAGCCTCTCAGGGAAGGGACGGGCTCGGGGTCCCCTCCGCCGTCGTCCTGCTCAGGAGGGCGGCCTCGGACTTCCTCCGGCCCCTCTGCCATCGTCGCCTCAGCACCAGCCTCGGCGGTCCTGTCACTGCGCCGTCTCCAGGCCCCACTAGCCCCTCCCCAACGGCCCGGTCGCCACCGCAGCAGCCGCAGGCGTCAACAATCCGCCACCGGAAGCGGAAACCCCGCCTCTCCCCGGCGTCGCCGGCCGCGGGGCGGAGCGGGGGATGGGGGGGCGTGGAAGACCGGGCTGCGTGCTCCGGCGCGGGCGGCGCGCGTTCGGGGTCTCGGCACGCGAGAGCCCTTGGCTTGTCGGTCGTTGGGACCACGCTGCCCGCTCCACGCCACCTCTCACGGTCGTAATGAAGTCTAAGGCCCGTGGCTTCCCCACATCATCCCCTGGGAGGTGGACTCAGGCTGTCTCAGGAGAAATTGCGGATGGAGGAAGAGGATTTCCGAGAGAGATCCCGGGTCCCAGGTTTCTATTACCGAGTCGCGACTGGTTGGGTCCCCAGGCACAGGGCTCGTTGCTTATTTCCGCCTGCCTTCATTCCAGTTAATTAGTCCTTGGCCATATGTACTCAAGAGACTGACACAAGACCTATCCCTTTAAGGGGATAAGAAATTAATAACCAAATTACACAGAGCCGTACATCAAGATAGTATGGCTCAGCTGCAGGGATTTTCAGTGTAAAAGACGGGAAGAGGGATTATAGGGATTATGTTGATTTAAGATCTAGACTCTGTCCTTATCTGTGTCGCTAACATCTTGCTTTCCACCGCTGTAGGCTCTAGCAAAACTGCCTTTCCTCACGCCGTCATCTCAGCCCTTGGTGTCTGTTCCTTTATTTTCTGTTAAGGCAAGGCCTGTACGTATCCCAGGGCTTTGGAGGCTTGTCTGAATGCTCCGGCCCAGGCATGATTTCCCCTCCCTCTGAACTATATTAGCACCTTATATTTTTATATTTTACTATACTTCCGTATGTCATAAAGTTGATGAAGTGATAGGAGTATGTTTTTGTATCGCGGTACCATACAGAAGACCTTCAGGGGCTAAGTACTGTGGTTGCACTTGTTACTAGTGATGTCCAGAATCATTCTTGACTTCTCTCTGGGAACTAGAATAGTAAAAGGTGTGACTTTTGCCTTTAAGAAGTTCAGTAGTTCATATGATTAAAGGACGTTTCATGAAACGCTTGAAGACCTATCTAAGACAATATGAGTATAATAAGAATCCAAAATAAGGGAAGCATCGTGGGGGTCTATAGCTAGCAAGGTTGCCCTTAACAAATTTGGTTTTAAGAATTGTGAGGAAGTTGTAACATTTAAACAAATAAGCATTCCAAGTTTGGAGGGTTCTGGGAGTGGGGTGGCAGGAGAAGCAGGAAGAAATGAAGATGATATGGAATGAGTGTGAAATATTGCAGTTATTACAGGCATGGACTTTGTTTTGAATGTCATTGATTATGTAGCACCTGGCACAGTGCCACCCACATAGTAGACATTTATAGTAAGCAGGACTCTTGGTTGCGGTTGGCTTGTAACTGATTTAAGAGAGAAAAAAGTAAGTGAATTTATTGACTTGCATAACTAAAAAAGTTGAGGGTTGGTTAGCTTTGAAGGATATCTGGTTACAGGTGATTACTTCAGGAATCACCTCTTTGTTGGTTTCTTTTCTGACTTGCCTTTTGAGGAAAAGTGTTTCTGTTTCAGTGATTTAAAAAAAGAATTCTGACATGAACAAAAAATTTTTTTGCCTATGTAAATCAACAAATTCAGGGGTTCTACATAATATGAGAATATTCAACAGGACATCTAATAGGCATCCCAAAACAGAGAAGAGAGGCAAAATTCAAAGCAATAATGGCTTTATTATTCTAAATCTAAAGCATATAAAGGTCACGCTTTAGAGAGAAAGAACATCGAGTCTTGAGAAAATAACATATACATCATGATGGATTTAAGCAAAGAGAAAAGTTTAGTGATCTTAATAGTATCAAAACATAAACTGTTGACAAAGAAGTGACATTCAGCCTGGAAGCCAAGTTTCCCAAAAGTAAAAATAGGTGCTGAAGAGAGTAGAGTGAATATATACAGTACTGAGGAGAAATTACAACCTAGAATGTTATAACCAAGTAAACAATCACTCAAGAATGAAGATGTGGGCGCCTGCGTGGCTCAGTTGGTTAAGTGACTGCCTTCGGCTCAGGTCATGATCCTCGAGTCCCAGGATCGAGTCCCGCATCGGGCTCCCTGCTCGGCGGGGAGTCTGCTTCTCCCTCTGACCCTCTTCCCTCTCGTGCTCTCTCTCTATCTCATTCTCTCTCTCAAATAAATAAATAAAATCTTTAAAAAAAAATTGGTTAAGAATGAAGATGTGATGTAATGCCCTGTGCGAATCCAAATAACATACTGATCAACCCCAGCCCCTTTCCATGACATTCAGCTAAGGACTGAAGTCTCAGGGATGTAGAAAGAGAAGTATTTATGACTCAGAAATATAAATGGATTCTAGAAAGATGGTAGTACGTGAATTTTGAATCTCCCTGGATTCCTACAAAGAAACAGACTAGATAGTGGAACCAAAAATGCATGAAACATTTACAGCAAAACTAATTGAAAGGTAATACCACAGACCCCAAAATATAAGAGGATGAGGTCAAACCACGATTGCAAAACATGCACAGTGTCAGTGCCAAAAAAAATCGGATCAAAATTGTAAAGATGTTAAAATGATAAAAGAAATGAAAGAGCAAAATAAATCAGAGTAAGAAGAACTCAGAAATGAAGTAATAGAACTTGGGGAAGAATTAGAAATTAAAAAAAAAATATCTGAAAAGAAAACTAGGAGGAACACAGGAGTAAACAAACACAACAGATAGTGTCCAAAGAGAACTAGAATTTGAAAATGAGATTTTTTAAGGCCAAAAGAAATTTAGAGAAAGAAATGATTTTACAGAAATGACGGACACTGAAGATTGGCAAAGAAGATCCGATGTATGGGTAAAGAAGCCCTGATAAAGAACACCAAAGCCAGTTAACAGAACAAATACAACACATGCTAATTTAAGAGAACTTTTCCTGAAATACAAATATATTTTTGTATTTGTATATTCACATATGTACCATAATATATATTCCTATGTATATTCACATATATTTTTAAAACCCAACATTGAAAGAGCATACTGTGAAAACAGTGAATAACAAAGGTGTATCCTAGTAAAAATTACTAAGACTTTACATTTTGGTCATTTAGGCCAGTGGTTTTTTTTTTTTTTTTTTAAGATTTTATTTATTTGACAGAGAGAACAAGCAAGGGGAGCGGCAGGCAGAGGGAGAGGGAGACACAGGCTCCCCACTGAGCAGGGAACCTGACTTGGGGCTTGATCCCACAATCCTGGGATCAGGACCTGAGCCGAAGGCAGGCACTGAACCAACTGAGCCACCCAGGCGCCCCTAGGCCCTCACTTAAGAGAGAAAGAAAACTGGATTATCATAGGACTTCAACATCAACACTTCAAACAAGAAGACAATGGTGAAGCATTTAAAACACTCAAAGAAAGAAAATGAGAACCGAGGACTTTGTATCCAACAAAACTGACTTTCAAGTATAAAAACAGTCAATAAAAACAGACAATGACAGAGGATGGTGATGAGCATTCAATCTTTAATTCCATGTAGCACTAAGACTGAATGAGGGCGTGTTTCAGTCAGGGTGCAGTCAAGCGACAGAAACCACAGCGTAATTTGAACGGAGAACATTTGCTCTAAAGCATTGTTAATGGGATTGGAGTGAAATGAAGGTGGTGAGTAAGAGGCAAAGAGAACCACCACGTAGGAGCAGTAGATCTGGGGAGCAACCACCACTCCCAGCACTGAAACTGAGTGGCCAAGGAAGAGCTCCTCACCCCCACGCCCACCCTGGGGCTGAGGTCTGGAGCTTGTTGGAGAGGACATGACTGTGGCTCACTGCTGGACCCAAGTTCACTGAAGTGTGGCCTCAGTGGGACTTGTTAGAAATCCTCTCTGTCTCGAGTGTGTGAGGAAGCTGTCCACAGGGTTGCTTATCTCAGCTGCCCTATCTCAGAATTCACTGCAAAGTATCCAGAGAAACTGCTCACAGGCAGGTGCCTTGCCTGCAGCTCGCCACTCTGAAGCCATCCAAGAAAGGGTGGGGTGGGGGAAGTGGCCTGGGCCGTTGCTGCGTGTTTGCTGGCCGCCGGGCAGTACTATGAGGAACCGTGCCCTCCGCAGGAGTCCAAGGGAGTAAGCACACGAAAACCGGGAAAGGAAGCCTCTTCCTCCCCACCATGGCCCTCCAGTGCCCTCTACTAACCAGACCTAACATCTGATCAACTGGCATGGAAGAAATATTTACAGAGTTCAGCTCCGTTATTGCAGAGTAAGCGAAGATTTGGGAGCCAAGAGTCCATAAACAGACATCTAATATGGGGCTAAAAGAGAGTATCATCTGAGATGGATTTATATTCTGAAATACTGATATAAAATTACTGTAAAACTGGAGGGGAGTATGGAGAGAACATAGGCAAAAAAATTTAAACTTTTCAGTATGATGGTGGTAATTTTTGTATTTTGAGGATGTGTGTGTAATGTTGCATAAAATGGGTAATTATCATTAGTGTAAACTTATCTGTCTGTTTATCTGTCTGTCTGGTTTTCTGTTTTTTTTTTTTTCAGTAACAGTCATTGTCCTTATCACCTGGACTATGGTCTTGAAATACCATGTCCCACTAAAAGAAACAAGGGCTTCTTGGATGGATGATTCTAGATCTGGGACAGGAAATGCATAGAATGAACATGATATATCTTGTCATACTAGAGAGCAGAGGAGCTATTAAAGTCTTCTAGGGTCATGTCCAGGGGACCTAGAAGCCAACTTCAAGTGGCTCCCTTTGGCCAAAGATGAGGTAATTTGAATTTCAATAAGGGTAATAATTAGAATGAACTGTAACACATTAAATATATTTAAATACATAAATTCATAATAATATATAGTCATACCAAAGGGATTAAACTGGAATCTGATCAAGTGTTTGGATCTGCCAATTTGTAGGAAACAAAAGACAAAAAAGCATGTTGAAACACACGGTTGGTATCCAATCTGCAGAATCCAGGCAGAGGAACCTTACAAGTCAAACCACTGAGTTCGTCAATAGATACATTGTAGGAAAAAGAAAGGAATGGGGAGAACCATTAGATTAAAGGAGACTTAAAAGGTACCCAATTAAAGAAAAGAGCAAGACTAAATTATAATGTCTAGGGGGATACACGTAAAGAAATACCCAAAAAGTGATCAAAGTCAAGGTAGTGATTACTTTTGGGAGAGGGAGGGGCTCATGATTGGGAGACAGCCTTCTGGTGTGGCTAACAAAATTCTGTTTCTTGATTTGGGAAGTGATTACAAGGATGCTCCCCTTCTAATAAACCATCGCACGGTTAAAGAAATTGACAGAAATGGAATTTTTTTCATTCACACCTAAAGGGTATATATAGGGATATACTTCAGCAAGAAGGAAATGTAGCTCAGAAACAAGGAGGGCAATGTGAAAAAGAAATGGCTTTAAGAAAATTCGAACCTTGCATGGGTCTAATTGCTCAGTTAAATGAGATTGAGAAAAATCCTCTTAAGCACAGAGAACTGACTCCATGTACTCATCTCTTTTCCAGAACACCTATTGAAATGAAACAAAGGAATACATTTATAAACCTACAAGGTGGATGTAGTTTTGCAAGATAGAAGGTCACTGACTTAAGGAGGAGAGGCTTGGAACTGGAGGTGTAAGGTACTCTGCATAGTGGAAATGAAGCACAGTGCTGACAGGAAGTTTAAATAAAAGTCTTTATCAGTGACTCCTCATTCCCAATTTTCCCCAAAGCCCAGTTTTTTGAAATTCCCATCAGCTAAACCTATGTCTCCCAAGATATTGGAGTATTCTTTTGAGAAATTAGATGGTCCCAGAGAAAGCCTCTATGTTGCCATTCACGGGTCCAAGAACAAAAAGTTTGGTTTGCCAACTTCTTATCACTTTACCCCGAAACCTACCGGTAGATAGAAATAAGAGTAGAAGTTTAGGGAAAGAGCTTTCCGAAACAAAAGTAAAATCTATTAATATGTTAGAGTTGTGGAGAATAAAATTGATGAACATTTGACAATTAAAAAAATCCAGTTGGATAGGTATAAAACCAAACATTTTAAAAAAGAAAGGCCATCTTTAATACCAGGAAAAGCAAGCCTTTCCTTGCTACCCAGAACGAGGTCCATGTGGTGTTGTTCTGAGTTCCTGTCATAGCTTAAAAACTTTTACAATGTTTGGAGCCCTTGCTGTCCTACAAAAGAAGGAGATGTCCTCAAATTCCTTGTGGCAGTACAACTTAGGTGGCACCAACCTTGACTTCCAAGTGGAACAGTACATCTACAGAAGGAAAAGTGATAGCTACATCATAAATCTGAAGAGAACAAGACTGAAGCTTCTGCTGGCAGCTCCGGCCATGGTTTCCATTGACAACCCGGCTGATGTCATGTCCATCCTCTAGGAATCCTGGTCAGCGAGCTGGGTTGAAGTGTGCTGCTATCACGGGAGCCACTCCTGTCGCTGGCCACTTCACTCCTGGGACCCTCACCAGCTAGATCTGGGTCACTTTCTGGGAGTCACTCCTTCTGGTGGATACTGATCCCAGGGCTGACCACCAGCCTCTCAGAGAAACGTCTTCCGATAACCTGTCTACATTGCTCCATGAAACAGACTCTTCTCTGCGCTGTGTGGACATTGTCATCCCTTGCACCAACAAGGAGCTCCCTCAGCGGCTCTGATGTGGTTGCTGGCTCTGGAAGTTCCGTGCATACACAGAACATATCCTGTGAACTCTCATGGGAGATCATGCCTTATCTCTACTTCTACAGAGATCCTGAAGAGATTGAGAAGAGCTTGAAAATCACACTGCGGCCAGGGAGGAATTCCAGCATAAGTGGACTGCTGCAGGTCCCAAGTTTACCCTCACTCCACTGGAGGTCAGAGGCCGGTCTGCAGGTGAGCAGGGGCCCTCTGTGCCTACCCAACTGTTCCCTCTGGAACCCTGGAGCACTCAGCCTGCCGGGCAAGACTGGTCTGCGGCTCCCACTGTCCACACTACCAAAGGGGTAGGAATGACCACTGAGTAGTCTAAGGCTGTTCTACAGACTTTTAAGCAGGAAATGGAAATAAGGGTGATGGAAATGAACAGTTAAAAAAAATACCAGGAAAAAAAAGGCACCCCCCCCCAAACCAAAGCTTCAAGTAAGGAAAGGAAACATAGTCATAATTGCAACTTGGCTCATCATTGAATAATATTTACAAGAGTCATAGTAATATCAATACTATTGTTTTAGCCAAAATTGTGACGTATTGCTTTGAGAGGATGGGAAATAGAGGAGGTAGGGGAAGGCATAAGATAGCTGAATGCTGATCTCCTATATGAAGGAGTCAACAGACACCTAAGTGACATGACCTCTAAAGCTGAGATAAAAAGAAATTGAAGTAAACATATTATTTAGAAATATGGAAGCAAATATCAGATGACACAGCTGAAAGAGTTGAAAGTACTCAGGGTCACCTTCATGGAAATTAAATGAAGGCTCCCCTTTTTCAAGACACATAAACCTGTTAGGAAGTTAATGTAATATTCTGATTTTGTAAAAGCAAAAACAAAAAACACTGCTACCAGCAAGAAAAGAAACAATATCTGTGTTGTGAATACACCTGCTAGGTGATGCAGTGCACACCCTACACTCCATTGAGCTTGCTTCCAGGGAGCAGGATGGGGTGCCCAGAGTGGGGAAAGGTGGGGCAGAGTGTTGCCATTTTTCTTCTACTGTTTGATTTAAAATAACAAAAAAACAAAAAACTATTACTCTGATGGCAAGGAAGGAAAGAAGGAAGGATGGAAGAGAAAAGCAAAAAGAAAGAAGGTGGGGGACTGACTTCATGGCTGAATAGAGGAGGTTCAGATAATGTCCCCAGGATCTGGCTCTGTGTCAGCAATGCAAGCTCTGCTGTTAGAATAAAAAAAAAATGGCTCCAGCCTTCACATGCCATATTTCTAGTCTTGAGCAGGTGCACACTTTCTATGGGTGAAAAGTTGTGTGCTAATAAAAGATGTGTGCGCATCAGTTAAGGGCCAGGAGAGTCAGTGAAAGAAGACAACAATAGTGGGAAAGAACTTTTATAGAATCAAATAGGAGTAGAAGGTTAAAAAGAAAATGTTTAAAATATAGCAGAAAAGTCAAGGAAAACAGAGATGGAGAAAAGAGCAGAGAATTGAAGAGGACATCGCTGACTTTGAGAGAACAGCACCATGGAACAGTGGAAGCCGAAGCAATCTATTGCAATAATTTACAAAGTCTGGTTCCTGGACCAGAAATAGCAGCATTACCTGGGAACGTGCTAGAAATGCAAATTCTTGGGTCACACATTAGACCTTCGGCGTCAGAGACTCTGGACCTGAGGGTCTACCAATCTGTATTTTAATAAGACTTCCAAATGATTCTGAAGGATGCTAAAGTTTGTTGGCAGTGTATAATCGCTAGGTGATTGATACTGGAAAAGACTATCTCCTTTCCCCGTACAGAACATGTATTTGGAAAGCTCAGCAAAATCTGCAATAGCTGGAGGCATAGAGTTGTGTACATTGAGTGTTCAGGGGGCCATTTTATTTCTTCTGTAGTTGGTATGAAATGTTTTGGATTTCAGAATCAGACTAGAAAATTTAAACACATTTGATATTTTTAGTTGATGTAAGTAATAAGATTGCAGAAAGCTGGCTTTATCTTTATCTGATCCTTCCTCTGGCCTCTGAAGTTTGGGAGGAGAGCTGGTGTTTGGGTGTGTGTGTGGCAAGAACACTTGACATGAGATCTATTCTCTTACCAGAATTTTTTAAAATAATTTTATTTATTTATTTGACACAGACAGAGAGACCGTGAGAGAGGGAACACAAGCAGGGAGAGCGGGAGAGGGAGAGGGAGAAGCAGGCTCCCTGCAGAGCGGGGAGCCCGACGTGGGGCTCGATCCCAGGACCCCGGGATCATGACCTGAGCCAAAGGCAGACGCTTAACAACTGAGCCACCCAGGCGCCCCTCTCTTAACAGATTTTTAAGTGTACAGTACAGTATTGTTACCCGTGGATACTATATTGTACAGCAGATCTCTCGAACTATGCATCTTGTACAACAAACTTTATATCCATTAGTTTTTGGTTTTTACTGCCGAGGATCCTTTTCCCCTTTGAGCAACAGCGTCCTACTTATGTTGGAAAACTGCCCCACCCCCATTCTTTCGATTCTTGTGGGAATGGGACTCTCGAGCATCATTCTCCCAACCTGCCCCCTCCTCCTCACAGTTGGGCCAATTGGGTTTTTGTCTCAGTAGAACTTGAATCTTGAATGGCGACTGCAAGTGGTTGGGTACCCATCAGTCGAAACAGACCGTCTGTGACCTGGTTCCTAATCACTTTAGAGTCCTGCTCACCTTTCCTTTTGATTCTGTGAGTCACCCATTATTCTTGTAATACTTTTTTTTTCCTTGTTAGCCAGAGTCAGATTCTTTGGATTATAACCCCAAAATAATAACCATCACAGGATAATATTCACAAAACTCTGTATCAATTGAGCCAGACAAAATAGACCCATTTTTCAGTATTCAGCATTTCACTGGAGAACTATACCTCCTCCCATTCTTAATCTGTGGTTCTGATGAGACTGACTATGGCCCTCTGGCCCTACACATGAGAGTATCCCCTAGCCACAGGATCAGGGATAGAGTCGTCTCTGGGATTTTGCCATCTGAAAGGAGGTGCCAGTGGTTCACTAGACTGCCAGCGCATGCAATGATGGTGTGACCCTGAAGCTTTGGGTGGCCATTTTTGATACCATGTGAATGACTTTGCCCGAAATTGAAACCAATGTAGAGAAAAGTGGAACTGAGAGATGGAGAAACAAAGAAAATACTCTTGTGACCTGTTTCTCTCTTGGATCCAGTGATGTCTGAAACCATCTCCTTGAATTTTAGAGTTGCTTGAGCTAGTAAGTCCTTTCCTTTGTTTCTGTTACTCACAACCAAAAGAATCCTAAAACAGGGTAGGATTCCAACGTTCTTCACATTTCCTTTTTTGTCCTTGTCAGTGAACTAAATAGCTTATAAGTTCTTTCCTGCAGCATTTTCCATGAGGAGAAGGAAGGTTGATCACTGTTTATAGTTTTTTACAAGTATTCACTTTCAACAAACTTCCTTAGACCTGGGTCATAAAATATTTAAGTGGTACCATCTGATGTTGCTCTTGAAAGCATTTCTCCTCATTGATTACAAACCGGTGCCCAGGTCAGAGACCAATGATGTTGATGCTCTTTCTTGGTGGGTGACGCTTAGTCACCTGGGCATTCTACTCCTCTTTATCTTGTGGTCTGGGTATGGTCATTTCAGGAGTACTGTGTACCAGTGGGTCTCAATTCTGGCTGCACGCTATAATCTCTGAGGAGCCTTTAAAAACCACCATGTCAGGTCCCACCCCTAAAGATTCTAATATAATGGGTCTTGATTAGGGTCTAGCCATCCATGTTTTCTAAAAACTCCCAAGGCATTTCTGCTGTGCAACTAGATTTGAAAGAGTCACTGACACATACACTGCATCCCTAGTTTGGCCTAGCTGGTTCTAATTTAAAAGGTGTTGGTGATTCTGTTCTCCCTGGGTTCCTCAAGTGAGTATGTAGATTTTCTCCACCTCCTCTAGCCAGAAGTTCATTTCTATACCCATTGTCCTCAACAACGGGATTAGGTCCCAAGAAACCCAGCATAAGTGGGGAAAAAACATTTAATA